TTTTTTTTTTTTTTTATTTTTATTTTAAACTGGCATCTGAAGCAAAACATTGAAGGCTTTTTTCCTACATTTCACCTACACATAGTGTGAGATAGACAAGAAGCAAAGTTAAAGAAAAAGGAAACCTTTTAAAAAATAAACACTGGAAGAAATTTGTTAGTGTTACTATGTGAAAGGAAAAAAACAGGAAAATCCCATGAAGTGGAGTTGCTGTATCTGTCCCGTGCCTTACTTGATCTCTCTGTATTGTTATGCAATAGGCATCCTACCCATTCCTCTTAGTTGTAGAGTTAACAGTGCATTATTTATTTGTGTGTACAAACTATCAAATGAACGTTTCCGTATCGCCATTGGAAAAAAGAAAACCAGCCAATGTGGACAAAGTGGAGACCAAATAAGCTTCCAGAAATACATATAAAGCCTAAAGGAACACAAGCTCAAAAGAATCAGAAGAGTAATGGTTAGTTTAGTTTGATAAAAATAGAAATCAGTTATTACATTATTGACAAACTCTGCGTTTAAAATACCTTATTTTTTGTGCCAGCTGCCTAGAGAGACTTCTTGTAAGGTCTCAAACCCTTGTTTTAAATACTGAATAATTTACTAATAAAGGACACTCTGTTTCAGTCTCAAAGACAAGTCTATAAGATTTTTTTTTTTACTGTAAATGATTTAAAATGTCAGTTTAGTAAACCAGTGAAATATTTAACATGTACTGGTCTAATCTTCAGACCTTAATATGTTGCTGTATAGCTATGCTATGGGATTTTTTTTGTTCTTTTGGTATATGTAACCATACCTAGAGTATTACAATAGGTGGGTAGTAAAAGCCAGCTTAATTGGAAACATATCTGTAGATCTCTATTTGTAAACTATTAAAAAATTACGTACTTTATGTGTAATGTGTAAATTTTCACCATATTTTTGTACTCTGTAATACTGTCAGCTCTCATGACTTTGAATTTGAATTTGGGGCTCTTTTTGATCACTCAGAATCATGTGTTTCCCTCTAGCTGGCCAGTATGAGTAGAGTCCCTATATTTTGACTTGCACTACAAATACATGTTTTATAATAATTACTATACATGTGCTTTGTATATTGTTCATCATTATGACATAAGCTACCTGACTCCCATTTGTTTTTCTGTTTTACAAAAAGGATAGATTAAAGCAATCTCTCCCCCCCCTTCTCCCCTCCCTCTTCAGTTGTCCCTGTTCATAACACTTGAATCGCGATGCGGTTCGGATTTCTAGGCCTTTCAGTCTTCATTCGGCATTCAAACAGATGGGCAGGGAGCGAGGTGTCAAAAGAAGAGATGTCCCAGCCTGGCTGAGGCGAGGCAAACCCTTGCAGAGAATGACATTCACCACTGTGCAGAAGGCTGGTAGGAAGGGTCTGCCACGGCGATGTTCGAGATCGAAGCGCAGTCAGGGGCCGTGTATCGGCCTGGCCTGCAGTGGGGACTTGGTCTATGGGACTGGTCCTACTCTTTCTGTGGGTAACAGAGGGTTGTCTTTAACTTCTGCAGTTGGCACAGCAGTCCCTTTAGGCTGTTGGTATGTGTGTAAAGGATTTACAGGATCAGACCCTTGATTTTTGCAAGCTTGCTGATCTTTTTTTTCAATTGAGTTCATGTTAAAACTTCTTAAAAAAACCCAAAACAAAACAAAAGGAAAAAGCAACATGGGCATCCTAAGATTTTTGTTGTTATTACGTGTTTTAATATTGTAGAGGGAGTTAAAAAAAAAAAATAATCACGTCACATTTTTAAAAAGCCCCAACCTAAATCGGCAAAAAAAAAAAGAATCATGAAGAAGGCATAATCATTTCATTTCACGTGATGAATGCTTTTGCACACAAAAGCTGGAAAACTGCAATGCAAGCATACGACTTGGATGAGAAGGACATTTTCTGTCGTTGTCCTGAGCAGTGTTGGGAGGACACTCCTGAGCTTGATGTTGTCCGCTCCAGTTTTAAGAAGTGCAATTTCTTTGGCTTCAGCAGAACACTGACGCGAAACTGAAGTACCATGGTGGCTTGCATGTGCCGCTCCTCAGGACTTCTGTAGAGCCCGTGCTTATTGCCTAGGTGGAAACATAGCCCCAGAGATGATTTAATGCCACCCATTGACTCAGTGCAGAGGAGGAGGTACGTTAGACTTCTGATTTATTTAGTGAGTTGAGATGAACAAGTGAAAAAAATCTGTCCTGCTAACACTTACTTGCTTGAGCCAGACTAACTCCAGTGAGAAGATGCACTGAACTCAATGAAACTCCTCAGGGTAATACATACTCTGGATTTTGCTGTGTATGGCAGCAAAATTAGTTTTATCAGGTTCAGTATGAGAACTGTATTTTTGTTGGACAGGAAAGAAGACAAGGATGAACATTTAACAAAACTTAAAAAATGATTTTGCAGTTCTCTGCTGTGGGAATGCAGCTCAAAAGCAGTTTTGAAAATGCGGAATAGGAGATAGCATAGTTGTCCAACTATACTCACTATGAGCTGGATGCAGCTGAAAATTTTGATTTGGAGTTTTTCTCTAAATTTAGGTATAAAACACTATTTCTGTATGTCATTGCCCCAAGGTTGAATATTTTTTTTCTTTTTTTGTTCCTCAAAATGCACTGATTGTATTTGAAATTCTCTATTATAAAGCTCCTACTTTTTTTTTTTTTTTCACTTTTTTGTTCATTAGGCATGTATTTTCCTTTTAATTACCAAGGGTGTTGGGCCTGATCCTACAATGTGCAGAACTCATGAATGAAATTCCCCTCTACAGAGTGGGGTAATGTGAGTCCTAAGCACCACTCAGGTCCGATGTAAATACTCCTGCAATGATCTTTAGATGGATCTGCAACAGCTCAAGGACTTTGCTATGGCCTTATCATGGCAAGGTAATTGCCAGTGTCTGAGCAGAGTCCCTGAGAACTGATGAGAAATGGTCAGCATCTTGAAAGATCAGCCCCAAGGGGCTGACTGGGGCTGAGAGGGAATCATAGCACTTAGCTGGGTGGGGTAGGACAGCATTTCTTCTGTGTTATAATTGTATGGTTGGCATGGTTTAAAGGAGAAAAAAAAAAAGAAAAAAGAAACTTAAAGGACAGCTGTGTTGTACTTTGGTGATCGATTACTCTGTATTTTAACACATTGTATGTCTGGTTTTGTGGTGCTCTAGTGGTAAATAAATTATTTCAATTATATGCTTGTGTTGCTTTCGTATGGCAGTGTTCTTCTGGCACAGGCGATTCATCAGCTCTGGCTCAGCTTAATCCCTGCAACACCTGATATGGGGGGGGAGTTTTGTGTGTGTGTGACCTTGACATGGTCCAGCATAGGCTGAGGTGAAGAACAGCCATCTTGAACGTGAATCACATCTGCTGTGAGGATTGCTCTTCCCTCAGGCTCCGTGGTCTATGTCTTGGTGTATAGACAAGAAGTGGCTGCTGGTCAAGTGCTCTGAGCAGCAGTGCTGTCCCTTGTGTGTACAGGACAGGTACCGCCCTGGGTAGGAGCTGTGTTACTGCACAGCCCTGCTGTGCCTGGTCCTCCACTAGAACCATACCCTGGGAGGCCTGTTATGGCTGGCAACAGTTTTAGAGGCTTTCCTCTTTGATATAGGATATCAAAAGTAGTTTCTTCCTCGTTCCTGTAGTGCTGTGGGAGGTGGGAAGGTGATCTGTTTTGTGATACCTGTACACCAAGCGATCCCACAACACTGCATCCCACAGGAAAGTACAGTGAAACAAATTGTTGGGTTTGTAGGTTGTGCAAAATAGTCCACAGTGGGATGAAATGGGGTATTAAAGGAGAGGCAACAGACACAAGTTGGAACATGGCAAATTTTGGCTTCATGAAAGGAAAATATTTTTTCAGTGGAGGTGGCCAAGGTGTGGAATGGGTTGCCCAGAGAGGGCATGACTTCTGCATCCTTGGAGATGCTCAAAACTGTCTGGGCAAGGTTCCAGGCAGCCTGCTCCAACTCTGCCTGGTCTGAGCAGGAGGTTGGGCTGGAGACCTCACAGACCCCTCCCTGCCCAACCCCATGAATCTACAAACAGTAATGTTCCAACCCAACCACTGTTTCTGTCATGGGCTAAAAGAGCACCAAAAAAGTTGGTTCTCAACTGCCTCAGTTGCTTCAATTTGCCATCAGCAACCATGTAGACACATGGAAGTGGTTTTTTTTGACAGAAAATAGGATTCTCTAGTTTGTTGTAAGTCCTTCTCCATGCACTCTGCAATATGCAATTGTATTATCTAAGCAAATAGGAATTAAGAAGCCTGGTATTGCAGCTTTTCTTTATCAGGCTCTAGTCACTTAAATAAGTAAAACTGATTGGA